AGTCATAAAAAAATCATGACACAGCCCGGCGGCGTGGCCTAGCGGCTAAAGTCCTTGCCGTGAATGCACCAGGATCCCATATGGACGTCGGTTCTAATCCTGGTAGCTCCACTTCCCATCCAACTCTCTGCTTGTGGCCTGAGAAAGCAGTCTAGGATGGCCCAAGGCCTTGGGAGCCTGCGCCCATGTGGGAGACCCGGAAGAGGTTCCTGGTTCCTGGCTTCAGATCAGCGTAGCACCGGCCATTGCGGTCACTTGGGGAGTGAATCATCAGACGGAATATCTTCCTGTCTATCTCTCCTCCTCTCTGTATATCTGACTTTGTAATAAAAACAAATAAATTTTTAAAACAAAAAAAAATCATGACATTGCTAGGAGGTATAAATGATAGGTGAAGTGTGTATGAGAGACAAAGAACTGATGGACACACAGTGAGGGCTTGGTCGGTTAGTTGTTGTCACACAATAGTAGAATTATTGCATCAAAGCCAATGTCAGGGTCCAACACTGTCCTAGGATCCCCCATCCCATTGCTGCCCTCTGACCTGCGGGAGGGAGGGAGGTGGAGTGACAGCTGCTGAGGATGCTGGGAGTTCGAGATGGACATACATCTCTGCAGTGGGCTGCCTTGGTTGTGGACAGGCAGAGGGGCTGGGAGGGACCTGGGCTAAAGTAGGAGGCAGGTTGGGCCCCAGGTTCCAGCGGTACAGGTTGGTGGCCACGTGGGTGTAGAGGGCCAAGAGTAGGGTTACCATGCCAGGACAAGTCCCCGCTATATTTCTGAGTCCACAGTTGCTACTGGAAGCCATCATGGTAGGAATAACTCCCTTCATCCCCAGCCCTATTTGCCAAACCTGTGCAGGAAGGAAAGAGATGTGGGGGTGCCCAGAGACTCAGGAGTGTACGATGTTCCCACTGGAGCTCTCCAGCAGCTTTGGGATGATGAATCCCTGGAAAATGAACGTAACCATGTCCTTTGTTCTCCCAACTGTGGGACCCTGTGGATCATTTAGAGAAATTGCATGCTCCTCCACATGCAGCTCACCTGAGTGGGACCCAGTAAATGAAGTGGCCAGGGTTTGATGCGAAATGATTAGAGGCAGATCCTAGGACACCACAGCCTGAGAGTGTGGGGTACAGCATCACTCCCCAGCACCCCTAAACACAGCTTTGCAGTTCCCAGAAGACACCCGGCTTAGCTCTCCTTCCAGCTGGTGCATCCTGCATGACCCGGCCCACGCCTCCCCTGGGAAGTCTTGCAGTTCACCCACAGCCCAGCAAGTGCCCAGTCCCTGCCCTCTGCGATCCACACTGGGTCCCATTCATCCAGTGGGGCGTGGGCCAGAGAGTAGGGGTGGGAATGATGAGACAACACTGAAAGCCAACTGTCTCCCTCCTCCTATCCCTGGACTCATGGACCAGGGGACCCAGTACCTCCAGTGCTGCCAGGAGATGGGTGCGTCCCAACTTCGGAAGGCAACGAGTTATGCCATTGTGGCTTGCGATGTCCTAAGCCCCTTCCTCCATACAAAGTGGCAAAGTTGTCACTTAATGATGACAGCACGTTCTGCCAATTGCTGGGCCAATGACAGAGGTGAGGACTTGGGATGCTGAGCCCAGCCCCAAGATCTTGCATACTCCACTGACCCCAACGCCCTATCCTTCCAGCCAGCTTGTCCTAATCCCCCATCTTAACCTTCAGAAGCATCTTGGGTGTGTCGTGGCACTGCTCTGCTCATGCCCTCCTCTGGAAATACTCTTGCCCCGTCCCTTCCCACCAGCTCACAGTTGTTATTCCCAGCTGGACCCTCATTAACTACCAAGGAAGCAACAATACACCTCCCAGGCACCACTTTGTGCAGTCTAGCCCCAATTCAGCCTCTGTGCACAGAGCCTTCCATGGTCCCTGTTATCTACAACATTCACTCCAGATCCCTTCAGTTGCTGTTTGCTCTCAGCTCAGGCCCCACCTTCCTCCTGCACTCCCTCTGCTGCTCTATGAGATTCTCTATCCTCCAAGGGGCCAGACCTGTGCTCTCTGCTCAGACAGCCCTCTCTGTTCCCCTCTGCCTGCTGAAGCCCCCATCCTCCCTTCTCCCTCTTCCTACCATTCAGAGAAGCCTCTCCGGGCATGGCAACTCCTCCTGGGGGAAAAGGTAGTGGAGCAAAGCTGTCCCATCTGTTCTCCAGCCCCACCATTCACAGGGCACAGGACTGGGTGCATGAGAGGGACAAGAGAAAAGGAGTCACAACATCCACGCATCTACTTCATCGGTCTTTATTAAACACCTGCTACATGCCTCTGCCCTGCAAGAAGGGAAGATGGGTGTGTGCCCTGCCCAGTGCCTACAGCCCCAGTCATCTGTTCACACAGCATCTCCGAAGGCTCCCTCACTTCCAGCTGGTGGGACATGTGTTCTGGGAATCAGAACAGCATGACACAGCTCGGCAGCAAGGTCTTGCCTGCTCCAAGAATCCCAGCCCGCTCATCTTTAGGATGCCACCAAGGCCTGCCAGTCACCAGTGGGGGGTCCACTTCCTACAAAGCTGAACCCCTCCTGCCCACATGCAGACCGGCCCCAGCTGATCCTTGGGGAGAGATGGTTTTGGCTGTGTTGAGGAGCCCACGGGCTCCCCCACTAGATCCTCCTCCCAGCCCCTGCCCTTTCACAAGAGGGGAGGGAGAAGAGTGGGAAAGGTCCCTGGGTCAAATGTTCCATCCCTGGTCCCTGTGGGTTCAGCAACCCCAGCGCTGACACCTGCTCCTGGCTGGCTGTGGCATTCATGTACCAAGCACCACTTGGCCTGGCCCCAGCCAGCTACAACAACTTCTGACTGAGGACCAGAGAAGGGCCACAGATGCCAGATGTAAGCCAGGGGTCCACTGAGCAGAGCAGTTCAGGAGCCATGGGTCCCATGGCAAACCACAGCAGTGGGATTCACCAACTGGGACAGAGTATGTTCAGTCCTTATTTTCCATCTTTGAGCAGCACCTGTAACCGCTTCAGTGCATCCCAACCCTGCCACCAACCCCAGCGCCTATTCAGTCCTCTCCAGTCCAATGTAAAACCACACCTGTTACAGATGCTCTCCATTGACAATTAGGGCCACCTATACATGGCTATTCACATCCCACACTTGCCACCCTCTGCACTGGCCAATCTGTGAGGATCTGACCCCAGCCCATCTCCCCTGGGCCTCCTCCTGGGATGCCAGACAGTTCTGGCTGCCTCACCTGAGCTCATGGAGTTGGGACAGGGCCAAGTCCTGCACTGCTCAAGCCGACTCCCCTCCCTCCCACTCCCACTCCCACACTGGGAATGAGCTGGCCCCAGGGACTCCTCCATGGACACAGTCCAGACTGCCTGTAGTCATCTCTGCCACGTCCTTCTGGTGGCCCACCTCTCCATTGGCCACCAAGATGGCAGAGTGACTACTCTGGGGGAATTCCTCTGTCCTGGTCCTCACTGTACTGTCTGTGCTTGGAAGAGACTTGACACACAGCTGGTGTTCAATAAATGCATGTAAGTATGAATGAATGTGGGACAGAGATGTAGGAGCAGGGTAGGCCATTACTTCTTTGACTGTCTAGGGAATGTAAAGGTAGAACCAGGGTAGGATTGCCCAAGGTCTGCTCAAGAACTTGGGGTGTTGTGTGCTAACTGTTGGGGACCACTATGGCCTCACTGTAGGACACTGATGGGCATAGGTCTTAACCATGTGTTCTGCCTGGAAGTCATAGGGGAATGGCTTGAAACCCCATCGAGGGAGGGGACACTTGTGTCGTCTCTACCCCCTCATATGCCCCAGAGGTCTGGGGTCTGTCCTTTGGGTCCCAGGACATACAGCAGTGCCCTCATGCAGGGCTGATTTGGCAATTGCACCCTTACACTCCAGTTGTTACCATGGCCCTGCATTAGCTCCACCAACCTCACCCCTCTCCAGCCCCGACCCTCTCCCTCTCCTCCTGACCTTGTACAGCTCCATCTCCCTATCCTCAAACAGCATCCCCCCCCCACTATTACCTTCCAGGCAGCCCCATCTCTCTGCAGTCTCTCACCTCGGGAACTGGGTTGGGTCCTGGAAGATGGCATCACAATTTCCATCCTCCTCCCATGCCTGCTGCCCTGCCCACCACAAAGCAGCTGTAACTACTGGCCATCTCTGCAGGTTTTGTCTCTGGCCCAGCAGGTGCAAAGAGGAGATGGCAAAATGTGAAAGAATCTCTAAGTAATCTACAGCAAGCCTGGAAGGAAGTCTCCCCCAACATATGCCTAGGGGCCATGTTGGAATACCTCCAGGGATGGTGCACACACTAGCTCCCCATGTAGCCATTCAAAGGTTGAACAGCTTGAGCAGCTGGTGTCCTTTCACGTGGGGGCATAAATGAATCCACTGACTCTTGTTTCTGTCCCTACCCTAAGCATTCTTTCTCCCCCTACCATCCCCATTCTGTACATACAGTCACAGGCCTCCTTCATTCTTCAATATCCCCCTCTTCTCCTCCCTTCTTTCTTTCCTCCTAGTAGCTGGCAAAATCCTTGAGGCTGGAGACCACCACTTCCTTGGCTATTGGCAGAATCTCACGCACCTGATAATTCAAAACATCAGCCATCCTCCAGCTGCTGGGAGCCTCAGGGCAGCAGCAGCAGTCCACTCCCCACTGCGCCAGAGGGAAGCACTCTGGATGACAGATAGCAGGGATGATGTGAGACTCAGAGAGAGGATGACCAAGCAGAGGAGGAAGCATGGGTCTCACGGAGGAGATGCAAATGCAGAGACATCCCAAGAGTCAGCGGCCACCAGCTGGCTCGGGAGTATCCCGGCCAGGCCCAGGTGGCCATTTTTCCTCCTATCTTGACCCACCAGCCAACACGGCTCTCTCTGGGAATTAGGACTTGACCAGCCCCCGGTGGTCATGGGTCTGTGGGTACAGACAAGGGTCTTACGTACAGGAGTTGTGGGGACACACAGAGAGACAAGTGATGGGGGAGGTGCCTGCTATTTGTCCCGTTGCTTAGTGCTCTCACTGCCAACATTGAACATGGGAACCAGGAGGCCTAGCAGCCACCGTTTCCCAAAGACCTCCTGTAAGTTCTTGCGCCAGGGCCGCGCCCTCACTGCCACCCCCTTCCGCAGCTGGTGGCGGGTCTGCCCGCGGAGGATCAGCAGCAGCTGGTGGCAGCAGAAGCCAGCACAGGCCAGGCCGATGGCAAACCAGAGGTAGAGCATGAGGATGACGAACATTTCCGAACCGAGGACAGCTCCTGCGGGCGGAGGGGGAGGAGAGCCGTCAGAGCCACTCTGTACCCAGGCCACGTACAGAACCGCCATCCAGCCAGGCGCCTTCCGCTGGGAGGGATGGAGATTAATGAGACAGAAGCCACATTTTGTAGCCAGCTCAGCGTTTGCAGAGGGAGAGGCAGGAGGACATAGTGGCCCTAACTTATTCTTAGTGCGGATGGTTCCTGTGTTGAGGAAGGAGCAGCAGCAATGGAGGGGAGAAGAGGATTAAGCTTGAGGTTGGTGAGAGAGCCAGACATTTTAGAGGCAAGCAGCATGGGGAAGGAGTCAAGGACCCCAAAGATGATAGAGACAACACCTAGGCAGCTGTCTAGACAGCAGCACCTCCTTTGTGCAGGGCTGGGAGCCCTGGCCAGGAGGACGCAGGGAAGTGACAAAATGATGGAGCACAGGACCTAGTCATTAGGAAGGGAAAGTCACGAGCTCAGCTTAGAGCCCTGGCAGAGAGAAGAGCTCGGTCATCATTGTTAACAAGAGGACAGTGTAGCCATCAGAGCAAGCAGTCAGAGCCGGCGAGGCTAGGCAAGATCCTCGGGGTTATTGGTTCAGCACCCCCTGCCATGGGGGCAGAACCATCCCCTCAACTCCTCTGAATCAAGTGCTTCCTGCCATTCATTGAACAAAGGGTTGCATGCCCTGCCTCAGAGTTTGGGGAGTAGTCAGTACATGGTTTGACTCCCAGTAGTGTTGATTTGTTTACGTTTCTGGATCTCTCTGAGCTGTGGTTTGCTCATCTGTAAAATGCACACAGCAACAGTTATGACTAACCTGGACCTGTCAGGGTTGTATCATGCACAGATATGAGGCAACTGCCCAAGCCCATTTTACAGATGAGACTTCATCCATGGAGGTTGCAAGTTCAACTTCCAGAATCACTGAGCTTTCTCCTCCTTGGCTGGGCTGCATCTTCAGCAGCAGCAATAAGAACACCTGTGCCAACCTACACATCAACCAGGTGGAGGGGTCCAGGACAGATTGTGCAAGCCTTCCTTATCCTCTCCCTGGCTGGAATATACTCTCCCTGGCTCCTCCAGGGACCTACCCTGCCCTACTCTTCTTTTTCCCCTATCCCCCATGGGCCACAGCCCACCTCCTCCAGGTCTCCCCGGCCTCCGATCTCCAGCCACTTGAGGGAGCAGTGGATCTAGCAGCCAGGGAGGACATAGATTGCATTCGGATTTGCTCCCCCAGCAGCCTCCTCTCATCCTCACCCTTAGGCATTTCTTCAGTAGCAGGTGTCTTTTGGTTGGAGATGAACAGGTCCAGCTGCTCAAAGGAATAGAAAGCTCGCTTCTCCAGCTGGCATTCAGAGCAGCCCCTACACGGGCACCAGAGAAGGGGTGGGCAGCAGAGAGGCAGGTCACACGCACATGGGGCTCTGTCATCACCCGACCCACTTCTTCCTTGTCAACACAGATTAGCTCTGGTGGCCGCCTGCAGGCGGGAGGGCCCACGGTGCCCTGTGGGCTCAGGCGGGGATGGGAAGTGGGGATATCAGAGCTGCCAAGCTCAGACCTGCCTTGCAGACCAGCCCCAGGGACAAGGCTGGGCGGATGGAAGCTGACTCCCGCAGGCTTCTCTCTGACGCTCCATCAAAGTGTGAGGAAAAGCCCTCGTGGCCTCTTCCTGGCCCCATGCAGGAGCCACAAAGGGCTATTCTGAGCCCTGCTTTCTTTCTAAGTGTTTGAAGTTACACAGCTTGGCTGCTTCGCTCTGTTTAACTGTGTAATCATGATGACACTCCTTTTAGAAAATGACATAATTTTCCTAAAGGACATGGATGGTGTCCATAGATGGAGCATCCAGTCTCCACTGCCCCTGCCTCTCACCAAGCCACTGTGATATCCGGGACGGGTGGTCAACCCAGTATCTTCTTTCATACCTCCAAGGACAAGAAACTCCTTTCCTCCCAGAGTGGGTCCACCATCATGAAACAATCTCAGAGAAGCAGACCCTGCAAGGCAGCGTGGTATAGGAGCGCAACAATCCCAAGTCCAGCTCAAAGCTTGGAATGGCACCACTGTGTGGCTTTGACTCAACTCAGCCCGACTCCATCTCAGCTCTTGAGCCTTAGACATGAAAGTGGTACCAGCTAAACTGCAGGTCTCTCACAGGGACTCGGTGGAAAGAGACACACACAGTAGGTGGTCCTCAACACACAGTAGGTGCTCAAGGGTAAGTCCACTCTCTGCTCTCAGACTTTGCAGTGTCACCTCTGTTTTCCAGATAATAATGAGATTCAGAAAAGTGATAGAACCAGCCCCAGTCCCACAAATCAAAACCAAAGGATAGCTTCTCAAACTTAACTGGCCAGTTCCTTGCTGCCCAGCGCCAGCTGAGGGCCTTCAATCAGTGGCCACCTGCCCATGGATCCCCCAGGACTCCCCACTCATGACCATCGCATGTTCCATTGGCAGGTCTGACTTGGGTTCAGCCCCATGGCAGGCTGCCTCCCACCCCCACCCCAGTTCCTGTTGAGCAGCTTGTGCCAACTGAGGTGGCCTCTCTCCTATCCTGGATGGGTGAAAGAGGGCATGCTCACGTCCATTTGGACTGAGACTCAGGAAAGAAGAGACAGGGAGGAGAAGTTGGAAGGCGAGGTGTAAGCTAGCAGCGGGGAGAGGTGTTGGCAGGAGGAGGGAGCATTGAACAGTTCACAGAGGAGGGAGATGAGAGGAGAGAGTGGGAGAGGGGGAGTCTGGGCCGTGTGGTAGTTGTGTTGAAATGGTCAAAGATGGTGGCCTGAGCTCCAAGCTGGCCACCGGCCAGCCCTGTTCTCCTGACAGACCAAAACAAGAGGCCCTTCTTTCATTCCCACTCTGCCAGTGAGCACATATGGACAGGCCTCAAGCCCAGATTTCTCCCAGATCAAATCATCTCAAGATCCTCCTTCTGGAGCCATCGTTTTTATGGTTGGTGAAATCACTTGGAAATGAAAGTGTAACCAGGCATTTGGCTCACATCCCTCCACCTGCCTGTGCTCACACCTACCCCCAGCCCTCCCACCTACCCTCCCCCAGCCTGGTTATTTTGGTTCCAGCAGTCTCTTATGCCAGTACCAGAATCCAGAAGGTCTAGAAGCTCTGAGTTCTAGGCCCAGCTCAGCCACCAGCCCTTCAGGCAGCCCCCGTGAATAGGGCCCTCCCCTGGGTCTCTGTGTCCCCACTGCCAAATGGCACCATATTTCTGTACCTGGGAGGAAACAGGCTACAGCCACATCCAAGACCCACATGGTGGCAGAATTCTTACAACCCTCTGGCCTAAGCACATCAAGGCAGTCCTGGGCTCCCCATGGAAGTCATTGCACTATATCTGTTTCTCAAAGCTCAACCAGCAAGGGATCTTGTGCCAGTCCCTGTGGTCTAAAGACCTGGGGGACAGGCCAGAGATTACTCCCTTGTGGTAGCAAGGTTCTAGGCAAGCCATTGAATCCCCTCTGAGCCCAAGTGGCCGTAACAAGGCCATGCACATATGCACGTATTCATCAAGGAGGACCAAGTTAGTCAGAGAACAAGGCCAAGGGGAGATGGAGTGGAAGGAGATAAGGTAGGGCCACATTTCCAGGCCAAGCAGTAAGAACTGCCACCTGGAGCCAAGGGCACCTGGAGCCAGATAATGGGGCATGATGTTTACAGCGTGGTTTTCACCAAGATGCCCAGTTGGGCCCTAGTGTGAGGACCTGGCTCCTACAGGTGCCAAAAGCTCCCAGAAGACAGCACTCCCACACCAGCCCAGGCTCTGTACCACGGATGTGGAGCCAAGCAACCTGGCAGGATCCCTCCCTCCACCTGCCACACCCACCCCCAAGCTGGAGAATAGCCTGGTGAGGGCCAGCCCAGTGGGCAGGAGGGTGAGGCTCAGCCTCCTGCTAGGGCTGTGCTGCTGCCAAGTTCAACCTGACTGCCTTGGGTTGGCAAAATCTCTGGAGAGCCATGCCTTTGTGGGGAAAATGTGTGAGCTGCAGGCAGAGGGAAGGCAATGCCTGGGGATACTTTCTGGGGATGGCCCAGAGAGATGTGTGCCAGGCATCAGGCAGATTCACCATCCACTGCCTCACTGTATGACTGAGTGGAGGCATGGTGAGTGAGGATGAGGTATGCACCTATTGGGGGGGGTTAGAGAGCAAGGTTGCCATATGCAGCCTGCCTAGTGCCCAGGGCAGGTGAACTGCCAGTGGACTATAGCACATTTTACCCATGTACATATTTCTAATCCTGCATTTGGGGCACGCTTACACTAAAATGCTGTTTCTCTTCCATTCCTGTTGAGCTGAGCCTCCCATCGTTTTTGTTTGCCAAATCTGGTCACTTTGGAGTTTGGGGTGGGGTAGGGGGCTTGGCATAGAGCCCCAGCGTGCCACCAAGTACACTCACCCGCGAAGAACTGGCTGATGGACGTGGGCAGGAGTGTGAGGAAGGCCAGGGGGTGGGCGAAGGAGACGGACAGGACAGCGGAGATGTAGGCCACGCCCGCCACCATGGAGTAGAGGCAGGCGAGGGAGGTGTAAAGGCAGAAGAGGACGAAGTTGCGCATGTTGCGGCTGCCGATGCAGTTGCCCGTGAAGAAGCAATGGTGGTCGTGCCTCAGAGTGACTCGGGCACAGACCCGACAGAAGTGGGTGCTGGGCGGGGGGCACGGGGTCCTCCTGGCCGGCGTGCCCTGGCAGGCTCCCAGATCATCCGGGGAGTTCTGGATGACCAGGACATAATTGCCCAGCGCGTTGGTGGAGAGGAAGAGGAAGAGCGCCCCATGGAGCAGGGCCGGCGAGAAGAGCGGGGTGGCCGCGGGGTCTTCGCGCATGCTGGGCAGGAAGAGGAAGAGCTGCAGGGCCAAGGTCACCAGGGAGATGCACAGGAAGTAGGCGGGAGCCACCACGTTGAGCAGCCGAAGGGCCAGCATCCTCGATTACATTCCTGCGGGCCAGGGACAAGACCAAGGCGACTCACCGCGGGGGCCCAGGGGGCGCCCGTGAGCGCTGTTCCTGCTGCGCCTCCAGTGAGAGTGGCGAAACCCAGGGTGTCCGGGCCTCTCTCCTCTTTCCCTTGCCCGCACCTGCTGCAGGCTCCAGCGGCTCAGACCTTACGTCGGGGGGAGGAGGGGTATCCCCGGAGGGGTATCCCCACCTCGGTTTAGGGAGGGAGGGAGGGAGACACTTGGTCGTTGTCTGTAGTTGTTGCTGGGGCCGCGAAATCGGGCTGCGCCCCTGTGTGGCTGTGAAAGGAGCCCCGTTTTGGGATTTAGGGTTCTGACTTTCTGGAAGGAGAAAATCAGGTGGGGGGTGGTCTCAGGCAAGGGGAAGCTCACCCGCTGACCCACTGCAGGTCCTGCTCCACCTCTCCTGTCTCCACATTCTCATGCCCCCTCCACCGTGGTGGTGGGCTGGACTTGGAGACTCAGCCTGGCACTCAGCTCTCTGAGGGATGGGGGGAGGATGGGGCATGAAAGAGGTGCATGCAGTCTGCGTGCGCCTGGGGTCTGTGTTTGTGTTTATCCATCTGTGTGCACACACATGCAATCACTGCCACCTGGCTTTTTGTTTGAAAAATCGATTAAATCATCCCTACGTTCACGCTCACGCCCTGACTTCCTCCTAGTGTGGTGGGCGCAGCGGGGATACTTCTGTCAGCGGGTCCTGGCTCAACCTGTCTCCCACGTCGGTTGCCCTAGCTATTTCTTTGAAAGGGGCATTTTCATTTGAGGCGATGAAATTAAGTCTCCCTTCCCACTTCCACCCCCTACTCTGTACCCTCCCCCCTCTCTCCAGGAGGGAAGAAACCCAAGCAAATCCCAGAGAAGCCAGCGAGCCCACCAGGGTGCACGAGCGGATGCCTGGGCAGCCTTCCACCCTGGATGGACCTGCCACCGGCAGCAGCCCCTGCAACCCAAGTCCTGTCCAACCGGGGATGTTACCGGAAAATGGAATAACGTGTTCCGGGAGAGAACTTTTCCGGGGGCCAAGGAACCGGCCAGGAGACGCGAGAAAAGTTCTGTACTCAAAACAGGCTGGTGCCACGGGGTCTCCAGTTAAGCTGTCCCATCAGACTGGGCGATTGGTCACCTTGGGATCCCCTTGGCCCGTGCCCCGGTGGACTGTGGCCGCCGTGGGGAGCACAGGCCTCTGAGTGCCGCTGGGACGCAACGCGGAGCACGCCCGAGGGTGGTCGCAGGAGCCGGGATCCGCCCCCAGCCAGGCGCCCCTGGGGCTGCGGCGGCGCTGCCCACCGCAGGGAGCCCTCGGTCCGAAGCTCGGGTGAAGCAAGTGTCTTCCCCGCGCCAGTCGCCAGGGGAGCGCAGGAGCAGCCTCCAGATGCACCGCGGCGCTGAGAAGGGGAAGGACAGGGGCTGCGAGAGTGAGGGGCGCTCGGCGGCGCCGGTAGCCCGGGCCCAGCGCCGGAGCCGAAGCCCGGGAGGCCGCCGGCGCTGGGGGAGCTGTCCGTTCAGCACCGGCTCCCGCTTCGCTCGCCCAAGAGGGCGGCACCGCGGAGCCCCGGCGAGGCAGGCGTCCCCAGCGTCCACCGGCACCTCGGCCAGGGGCTCTCCCGGAGGGACGCCCGAGAAGCTGCCCCTCCGGTCCCGCCGCACCCGGGTGGGGGAAATGAACTCACCGAGCTGGGGTCGCCGACCAGAGGAGCCCGGACGCCGGTTCGCACCCTCCCCGAGACTGCAAAGTTATGGGCTCGGCCCCACCGGCTCGCAGCCTCCTCGCGCTTCGTTTTGGGCACTAGGCAGGTAGCGGGGGTGTGGGGAGGAGGAAGCGGGCAGCCGCCGTCCTCCCACTTGGGCGCCGGCGAGTGGGGGCCAGGAGGCGGCGGGGACAGCAGCCGGCACCCCCCAGCCCCGCCGCCCCTCCCTCCGCTCCCGGGGGCGGCGCTCTGGCCGGCCACCCGTCTCGGCGGCAGCATCGTGGACGCGCCCCCCTCCTTTCCTCCTCGCTCGACTCCCCTGAGCGGCCTGGGGCGCCCCGCCTGACTTCAGCCGCCGGCTGCAACAGGGAGATCAGGATTGAGCCTGATGTGGAGGCTCCAGCCACCACCTGGCGCTCGCGTCCCTACCATGTCCATAAACCCTGCCTGCTCTCCACTTAGGCCAGGGAAACCTTGGGGCCTGAGGAGCTCGGCTCCTCAGGGGCTGCAGGAACGAAGCCTGGAGGCCTCTCGGAAAAGCAGGAACACAGAGGGGCTGGCAGCCGGTGGGCTTGGGTTGGAATACCCACCATGCGCTGCTGTGAGATTCCAGCATCCTTGCTCGTGTAACAGAGACTACGTGAAAAGGCAGCAGGTGTGGAGCCCCGCCCAGGGTTGGTGCACAGGGATGTCAGATCCCAATGATGAGCATCACCTTGCAAACTGGGCTAAGCCTCGTAGAAGCTGGTGTCGCCTCATTCTAAGGAAGGGTTAGCCAAGAGCTGAAGAGGCCAAGTGGTCTGTCCAAGTTTGTCCACCTCAGAAGTGGCAGAATCTGGATCTGAACTTGGCGGTCAGCCTCTGTTCAGGGCAGCAGCTTTCTGGAGGAGAAGGAAAGACACAGAATTACCTGGGTAGCAGTGCCAACCTGGAGCTTCTGCCTGGAGCCCAGGAGCCCTGGAGCCCATCTCTCTGCTCCTGCTGCCCTCACCTTCCAATCCACCCCCCCCAACACACACACACACACACACACACACACACACACACACACACACACACACACACAAACGTGACCAAGGGAAGCCAAGAGATTGGAGTGCTGCAGAAATACTCTTTACCTTCCTCTCCTGTTCCCTAACCCCCTCTTCCCCAGGTGAAGGAAAAAACCTAATAAATAAGTCAGCACTGGGGGCTCTCTCCACCAATGGATACCAACAAGAGCTGGATCCTGAAAGGAGGGCCATGCGTGCTGATCAGCACAGCCTCTATTTTTACAGACACTGCTTTCTCTGCATCTCACCAGTGTACCTCAAAATAAAAAGAGAAGCCACGGAACCTTTTCATCTTCTGGAAGGAGCTTATGTTAGAAGGGAAAGGATAGCGTGCCTGGTGGTGGCCTCTGCAGATCTGGGGGACCTGTGAGTGCCCATGGACACAGGGCAGGCACAGGGGGAGCACGCATGGCCCCCTTTCCTTACGGAGCAGCTGTGTGTCACAGCTATGGCTCATCACGAGCTCTGCCTGCCTCTCTCGCTGGCTAGCCGGGGGGAGACAGCCAGGCAGGCTTGGTTTGTACCATATTGATTGAAGTTCTCCATTCCCTAAATACCTTGGGAGTCGGGTGGTATTTCTAATTTTATTTTGCATATGGGAGTGTGGTGGGAAGGTGTGTGTCTGCATGTGCAGATGAGAAAGGAGAGAGAGAAGCAAAGTGAACGTGGGAAGGCATTAGTGGGGGAAGGGAGACGCCAGGCAGGAAGGAGATCTGGCCGTGCAAACATCAGTGGACAAAGGACCTCTATGTATTCAGAAATATAGCTGGCCAAGGGAAAGGGCAGGAAAGCTTCGGAGCTAGAGTGAGGGGCTCCACAGCACCCCCTCTCCAGGGGAATGTGTGAGTGATGCAAGCAACTATTGTCTTGTGTTTCTGGAACTGGTGCTTCTCCGTGACAAAGGTAGCAAGGAGGTCAAGTTGAAAATTTCACTTTGATTTCGGAACTGTCAGGGTTAAGCGGACTGAGAACAAACCCTGTTATTGCCACCTCCCAGCTGGATGAGCTCAGGGAGGCCATTGAACATCCCCACTCTCTGTAGATCTCATCCACAAAACGGGAAGGACGGGGCTCCCTCGAGGTGGTTGGTGGTGGTGAGCTGGGAGAATGCGATTCAAATACTGCATTCTCAGCCAGGAGACTGAGCAGTAGGGAGCGTCTCCTGCCTAGTATCTCTTTTAAGTGTTCATTTTTCTCCACAAAGAAAGATATTTTTCTCTTTTCATTTAAAATGAGAGTGTGGGCTGCCATGGTGGCACAACAGGTTTAACTGCCACTCACGATGCTGGCATCCCATTTCAGAGTGCTGGTTTGACAAGTCCCAGATGCTCTGTTTCCAATCCAGCTCCCTCCTATTGTCCCTGGGAAGGCAACGGAAGATGGCCCAAGGGCTTGGGCCCCTGCTACCTGTGTGGGAGACCTGGAGAGAGTTCCTGGCTGCTGGCTTAATGCGACCCAGACTTGGTCGTTGTGGTTATGTAGGGAGTAAAGTAGCAAATACGAGATCTCTCTCCCTCTCTCTTCAACACTCTGTCTTTCAAATAAATAAACAAATAAACCATTTTAAATGGGAGATTGTGGCCTATATCAGAAATATTTGGAGGCTTCTTTCATATATGAAAATATGATATTTTCCCAGAGTAGACCTGAGTATCTGCAGAGTAGTGAAAGTATCATGATTGACTAACTGACGCTGATTTCTCTGTGAAAGTGAAATCTCTCTTCAGAGACCTCCGGAGAGTCCAGCGAGGACACCTTTGCTATTGATCTTCCACCTGGCCACTGTCACCCAATCAGAGTCCAGCAGTGTCTCATCTACAGCACTAGAAAATAACTGGTGGGCCACACTTTGCATTGCGCTTGTCATGTGTCCTCATAGCTGAGCTGTGCCTGTCGCTGCCAGCATTCCCACGGGGACAGGATCTCTGATAAGCCGCCCATTGCTGCCGAGGGTTTTCCCTGAACCATAAGCCGTGTGCTTGCCAATTACCATGTTATTTGAATAAAACAATGTCTCTTCCAATCATTGCACTTCACCTTCAAGTGCTGAATACCAAGAAAGAAACTTCATGAAGCTAGAGGTTTCTCCCTTGAATGAGAAACCCCTGCCCTACACCTGCTGGGTTCTGCAGTTCCTGAATGTCGGGGATGGAAATTATTCCCAGGTGCCTGGACCTGTGCTATGTTCCTGTTTCAGGCAGATCAAGGTCAAGCACTTCTCTGA